GTTACACAGAAAATATTGTAAACTGAATTGACTGTATATTTGTGGGTGAGTGCAGCAGCTAATTGTGCACAGCAGTATCTCACAAACAGTAAATTGTTTTTATTGTTTTTTTCTTGAGGGTTTATTATCAGGCATGTGGAGTAAGGAAACTTGCCCAAGGTTGCCCTGTGGGAATCAAACCCAGGTCTTGCACTTGTGAGGCAAGTACTCTAACCACTGAGCTACAGGACTCCACGTTTGTTTTATTAGTATTTGGCTTGCATTGAGATTTTGAGATGTTACAGACTTTTCACCAAATGTACTTTTATTTTGTCATATTTCCAGCCCCCTGATTTTCCTCCTGTTTTTTGCTGCAAATGTAGGCCTTGAGAAACTTAAAAAATATCTGGGAGGTTATTTTCTGTATTAAAACACATTGTCCTGTATTTGCTGATACTGTTTTGCATTTCAGACAACTTAGGCTGCGGTCAACCCACTTTGAGCACTGACACAAACTCATAAAATGCATTGAATGCCACATACCTAACCCAGTGACGGCTTGCATGCATACACTGATTTTGAATTGTGAAATATGCTTGAAATGCAGTGTAAAGGCTTGACGATATGTCATACAATGCAGATGACCTTGACTACAATTATGTCACCGTTGGATTTCTTGTAGGTTTAGAGAATATAGGATTGAATTCTACAAGGAACTTATCAATAAGTCAGAATCACTGTTTGTTGTTAGCAGGGATTTTTTTTCTGGAGCATTGTCAAACATTGCACCAAATGATTCCCATTTCATGTCATTTTTATGGCTATGATAAATGTGCTGGTTTTCTGGGTCCTGTGCAGTCTCCTTTAAGCATTGGTCACAAGCCATCATTCAGCCCTAATATCTTTATAATCTGTTATTCAACAGCAATTTGCAGTTATATATCACTTTTCACATGAGGCAGTGTCTCGGAGCACTTAACAATGGTGGAGCTTGATAATAATAAAATAACAATAATCATTGGATTTGATAAAGCGCCTTATCACATTGTTGAGATGTCTCAAAGCGCTTCACAGAAGTGCTGTATGTTGTGGACAAAAACACTACAGCAAATTTTGTAATTGATGCCGAGAGTGGGGAGGTGATCCCAAGCACGTTTGAGGAGGAAGATCTTCAGGTGTGATTTGAAGACGGGCAAGGAGAAGGCAAGATCGAGGGATTAAGGCAGAGTCTTGTAGTTTCAGGTTATGGTGGCTGGAAGCATAGCCACCGATGGTGGAGGTGAGGAAGGATGTGCCGGAGTCAACTGATTGCAGGTGGCAGGTAGTGGAGTGGGGAGTAAGCAGGTTGGAGAGGTAGGGACGTGATAAAGCATGAAGTGATTTGTAAATGAATGTGAGGATCTTGAATTAGATTGTTTGCAATTGGGAACCAGTAGAACCTGACAAAGACTGGGGTAATGGAGGTTTGGTGTGGGTGAGGATATGGGTGGTGGAGTTTGTAGTCAATTGTTTTTTTGTGGAGCGGGTGAGGAGGTTACAGCAATGGACCTGGAGTCCCAGCTGGAGAACTAGATTTGGGTGTCGTCTGCATACATGTGGAATGCCATCCCGTGGTCCCTTCGCCTCGCTTCCTCCCTTGCCTCCTTCAAGGCCGGTCTCAAGACCCTTCTCTTCGATCGTGCCTTTGGTCGCCCTCCCAACTCTGCCTTCCCTCACCCCTACACCACCCCTCCACCATGCTTGGGCCCCGACACTTAACTCTTCAGTGCTTTGGGACGTCTTCCCGACGTGAAAGGCGCTCTGTAAATGTAATTTTGTTGTTGATGTAGAAAGTTGACCCCATGTCTGCGGATGATGTTACCAAGAGGGACTGTGTAAATGATCACAAGATTCTTATGTTTTCTTTAACGCCAAATAACCTCCTGTTCCTGATCTTCAGGTTACTGGTATTGACTGCCTTGTCAGGATTTCCTACCAAGTTGCACTTGTAGACTTGGTGAATGGTCAATTCTGACTGTGTGACCCATTAGGTTTTTAAACATACAACGTAGCTTTTGACAGACCAGTTTAGAGACGCAGGTTGCAATTACTGGGGAAAGGGTTTACATTGTTGCACGAATTTGAAGAAAAAAGTGTTTTGTCCTATTTCTCTAGCTCTTTCTTTTGGCCAAAGGTTACATTAAGTTTAATAATAAATCCTTACATTTCGTGAATAAGTCTAATTTAATTCAGGAAATCATCTGTTTATGTTTTTTCCAATCAATGTTTCTTTCATTGGACGGAAGTATCGCTTACTTGCTATGTACAGAGTATTTGCTTCCCATGTGAAAATCATGAGGATTTTCATCAAACTAAACAGTTGTTTCCTTTGTAAACAAAATGTAATTAACACTATTGTTAAATGGAGGCTGGTAAATTAGGTATTGGAATGTACAGTATTTCCTCTGTGTTCCTCTCTGATAGGGTGGGACCTACAAGAGACAACGCTGTTTATATGTCTTAGTCCAAGTGGAAAGTGCTCCTCTTGAGATCATCTACAAACGTGAGGCGGAGCGACGTGCATTCCTTTCCTAAGCATTGCTGTCTTTAATTTGAGAACTCGGGAAGATCAATGCTTTTGTGCTCTAGTGTTCTGAGGATGTGGGCTCTCAAAATCACATTCCTATCCATTGTGTGCATAAGATCAACTAAGTCAGCATAGCCCAAGGATTTAACCTGGAACTTTTTTTCTCTCTCTGGATCAGCTATTCAGTGAAGGAACTCGCTGAGTCTTTGGGGGAGCTTGTTTGTGACTGTTTGGTGAGCGGCAGATTGGAATTGGCTGTGATGCTGCACATGGATGACTTGTCTCCTGGCACATCGTGCTTGGGTTCACACATGTAAATTAGCCACAAACAAGATGAGCAGGGATAATGCCTTAGTATTAAGTGACAGACTTTGACTGAAAATAGAGAAAGGTGGGAATCTTAGTGGGGGAAAATATATTCAATCCTTTTTTCTGCAAAATTTTCTCTCAATCTCCTCCGCCTCCTTTCTCCTGGCATATGATTCCATTACTTTGCCAAATTGATCTAAGTGAGCTTACAGAGTGAGTGTTGGCAGGTTACTTTGTTCTGGGGAATATTGTAGCTGTGACCAATTTCATCTTTACCTGACATGCGTACATGCAGACTGCCAAAAAAAAATAATTTGGTCACTCAATCCACGACTGTTTGTGGGACACTGCTGGGCGGAATTGGCTGCTGCGTTTCGCCCACAAAATATACAGTCACTACACTTTATTCTGTGAAGCGTTTTGAGATGGCTCGGAGACGTAATAAGGTGTTATATCAAATGCAAGGATTATTATGCCAATAAAGGGATAGTACTTCTGATTTTTTTTCCCTATCTAATCCAGTAATCAACACCCCATGCTGAGACGAGCTAACTTGGCTCAGGATTTGAGGCTGGAATCTTGTCAGACTATGCTGTGGCTAATAATGATCCTTGCATTTGATATAGCATCTCATCGCATTGTTGAATTTTTTTACAGGATGTTATGGACTGTATTTGTAGGCAAACGTGGCAGCCAATTGGCGGCACAGCAATGTCGAACAAACCAGCAATGAAGTGAATGACCAATATTCTCTGGGAGATTGGTGGCCAGGACACCAGGGGAAATTCCTTTCTGTTTCCAAATAGTGGGATCTTTAATGTCCACCCGAACAGACATTTGCCTCTGTGTTTGCACAGGTATGTTTGTATTGCAAAGATTAGATTCATAATGTATAAACTAATAGAGGATTTTTTTCCGCCTTAGTCAAAGTTACCATAACATTCGCCCCATCTGTGAACAAGGTCTCTCTATCTCCTTATCCTTTTCGATCTCTGCCCTGTTTCACTGGCTCCCCATTCCCCAGAGGATTGAGATCAAGATGCTCGTCCTCGCTTTTAAAGCTCTCCATGGTCTTGCTCCTCCCCACATCTGTGATTCACTAAAACATTACCATCCTGTCCGCTCCCTCCACTGGTCTACACCATGTCCCCAGCCCTGGCCGCTCTACCATCAGTGGTCGGGCTTTCTGCTGCCATCCTCTGGAACTCCATCCTGGAATCCCTCTGCCTCGCCCCCTCACTTGTCTCCTTCAAAACCTGTCTCGAGTTCTTGTTTGACCGTACCTTTAGTCATCTTACCACCTCTACCCCTCCCTTGCCCTCCACCCATCTCGACTCCAGCACCCAGCTCGGATACAAGTACTTCACTGTCCAGAGCCTTTGAATCCTCCCAACGTGATTGACGCTACATAAATGCGATTTGTCGTTGTGATACCCACTTGCCAAATAATGGTGACAGAATTACGGGAATAAAGTTGTTTATGTGTGTATTGCAAAAAGAGCTCCTTAACATTAGTTCATACACGTGAATGCCTCAATGTCACTGTGATGCTTCTGTAGGTGTGGGACATAATCTTTAGATTTTTACTTCTACTGTCCAGTGGCAAGTGGAGAAATCTGACTCTGAGTGGAGCTCTTGCTTTTCTGGAGCTGGCAAAACTGCATTTACTAGTTGCTTCTGCGTATAGACTTGGCATTGGAGGCAAACTCAAAATATAAAAATGGTATTAAGCTGTTAGGTTAATTGGCAACACCACATTGTTTCAATTTTAAAGGAGTGCTTTCTAGTTTTCTCTGCTTTTGTATGTGGGGCCCTGAAAGTGTTAACTTCAATTGGACATTGTTGTTGATTCTGAATACGGGAAAACCAAAGACAGCTTTTTTTTTTGAAAAGTGAAATGCTGATTTGGTAACTAAGCATCTGTACAATGTGGCTAAAGCCGCATCCTGGTGACAGAGCAGATGGACTTGGATTTGCAGATCAGGTTGTCAGCTGTCAGCTTGATAAGCCCCGTCTGACCACCATTCAAATAAGGTGTTGTGGTTCGATGTGGCTGTGAAGGAGCAATGCTCTGAAGATTTACCTAAGCTTTTTTTTGTAGTTGTCTGTTTTGAGGAGTGTTCAGTTAGTTAATTTGATTACTTCACTGCCAATTCATTTCTTCGAACTGCAAGTTGTGGTCAGCCACCATACTGGGTTGACAGATGGGCGGAGGAGAAGGGCCTTTTCATGTGTGAATCGCATCACGGCACAGGCTCCAGCTTCTTTCTGTGGCGCAGGAACGAGAGCTGGTTGTGACGGAGCTGATAGAGAGACGCAGACTGCAACAAGAGCAGGCATGGCCCAGTTGAGTGTGTTTGATTGCATGGTCAATTACAACTGGGGCTTGATCTGCAGCCTGTACTGCAACTGGAATGATCAGGTTTGTCATTGCTTTTTATGTTGTTTACTTTTGACCCCTAGTCTAGAAGTGCAGCTTCTTGTATGGAGTATGTTTGGAGCTGGCAAAGAGCCTTTTCATATAAAGCTGCAACATTCTGCACCAGGCTGCTGGCAACGGCATTGCAGTGCATGTATTTAAACCCAAGCTGTTAAGTCGCTATTTCTGTTGACAAATGGTTAGGAGTTGCATTTCCTGTTATATATGAAAAGCTCAATGTGCACTGTGTGCTGTGAATCCAATATAAAAAGAGGCCTTAGAATGTTAACTCTGTTAATCCAGTCAACTGCTTTGTGTTATTTCGCGATTGGTTTACTTTAGTGTCATATTTGAAGTTTGTCTGTATTGCATCAGTTAATTTATGAAATTAATTAAGTTATTTAATTTTGACAATATATTACAAATTGGATGTTTGGTGAATGGAGGTTTATATGGGAAGAAGATTCGAGCTACGTTTGCAATTTGTCATGATGTATATAATCACAGTACTTGTTTTGCTGACCAAGTCTGTTTTTTTTTGTCTGAAAGGGACGATTTTATCTTGATTCATTCATAATCAGGATTAGTTTGGTGTGTTCTTCAGAATTCTGGATAGCTAATGGTTGTGGCAGTACAGAAGGAGAGGGGGCAGTGGGGGGGGGGGGCGAGGGGTGGAGTTGGTCCAAGGGCACGCTCTTTTAATGTTGACTTTATCTTGCATGTGTCTATGAGCACTGCACAAATTTGCCCATACATACTCTTTTTACTGGTTCATCAGTTTTCTTTGCTGAATTGCCAGTTCTGTGAATGTGGCGTCTCTATGGTTGACTTTGAGCATATTACACATGGCTGTTTACTTCAGAACGTATGTGACTAAGTTGGGTATATTGCAACAGTCAACCCCATTGAAAAAATGAGAACATGGTGACTAGCTGAAAACATGAGATATTGCAGTTAAGCATTGCAGTTAACCTTATAATAATAATAATAATCCTTGCATTAGATATAGCGCCTTATTACGTCTTCGAGACGTCTCAAAGCGCTTTGCAGAATATACTGTAAAATAAATTGACTGCAGCCAATCGTGCACAGCAGTGTCCCACAAACAGTCGTGGATTGAGTGACTAAATTATCATTCTTTGGTTTTTTGGAGGAATTATTTACTGCTAGGTAAACAGAGGTGTGTGGAAGAAGAAAACTTGCCCAATGCTTTGCCCTGCCTGGGAAGCGAACTCAGGTCTTCTCGCTTTTGATGCAAGTGCTCTAACCACTAAACTACAGGACTCCACCTTGGATAACCATGGCTAAGATTGGGTGTTGACACTGCTGGCAAAGGAAGAGCACTAAGCATACAATCCAAGCAAAATTCTGTCTAGTCTTGCCCAAAGAAAATTATGGAAAATTCTTAATCACTTCTAATTTGGAAGCCACTTTGTTAACAAATACATTTCTAAATTACCATTGAATTGAAGAACTTAGTCCATGGAATATACAGTGAATTCACTTTACAGCATATTCTGTGAAGTGCTTTGAGACATCTCAAAGACATGATAAGGCACTGTATCAAATGCTATTATTATTAATTTTGACAATACTGTGTAGTCTTAAAATTTAAGACAAAATAGTCTTGGTCTTACAGGATAGGACTAAGTAGAACTTTGTGTATCTTGTATATACAAAATGTTGAGTAGTTCCAAGGTTTGTTTTTCTTTTTTCGTCACGTGTTTTAATGTTATTTGTTGTTCTGATTTACGTTTCTTTTATTTCCAGTTGTTGGAAGGCATAGGTTTTCTGTAGTGAATGTCTTTGCTCACTACCCACAAAGTATGTTATTGAAGCTGTGACTAAATTTGTACGTAATTTGTTTTTTCCTATTTTTTGAAAGCTTAATTTTTTTTAAACTGAATTTTCTTCACTGGATACACAAAACGTATGTGAACGCACAAGAGAAGGGAGTTTCTCCAAGTGTCCTAGCAAACAATCCCCCAAATAAAATTGGTCATTCACTTAATGCCTGTTTGTTACATAAAATTACATAGTGATGCACCACAGCAATAGGCCATTTGGCCCAACCACGTATATCAAATGTGATTGAAAGGTCACATGAAGGCATTGATTTCACGCTAGACTATACCGATAGAGGTGCCAATGTCTTCCAGTGCTTTGTCCCTCACTCAAGTGACCATTCTTCCGGTGCAAGTCTGGAATGTGAGCATGGAGCAGCCAGTTGTTGCATGGAGGACCACACAGCCGTCTGATCCTGTTCCTGAATAATGTCCCCACACATGAACCTTTAGTGGACTTTACTGGTTAGTGATTACTAGTAGCAGGAATAGAATGGAATTTCACTTTTGTCCCCTAGCCCAGGAGAGCAGAGGCCAATTGTAATACTTCACACATTGCTCAAGCTGAGGTCACCTCGCTCAGCACCGACTGGGAATCACATCCATATATATGTTTGTGCCACTAGGTTATTGCCGGGAAGACACAAACCTTGTTTCTTTAGGTACAGTGTTCATCTTTTCAGCAACAAGCCACACTTGTGTAATCTGCATTCTCAGTCCATCTGAAAGCTGGAACCAGTTTTCTTGCCACATCTGCTTCTCCTTCCTATCCTCCCCCTCCCCCGAATAGCCCCAGTTTGAATTTGTATCTCCATTCTGATGCCAATGTATTGAAATAATTAATCAAATCAAACTAATCCTTGTTTCTTTTGGAACTTACTATAGTAAAAATTCAACCCTTAAGTACTTAACCATTTGTTTACTGGCTCAGATGGCAGCAATCTTATCTCTGGATCAGAAGATTGTTTTCCTAGTGGCATAACAATTCTCCAGATTAATTGATCATACAACTTCTGACTATTTGTGATTGTCGTGGTTTACCTGGAAATACTTATTAGTAATTGTATATGAAGTGTTTTGAGCAGTTTTGCCCTGATAAGTGCTATAAAATACAGAACAAATTGTATCAACATTAGATTTCATTTTTTAAAAAAATAGCAATAGACGTACCCTAAATATTTTTGCCTCAATGTTTTGTTTTCTTGTACAGTTTAAATTTTGTTGTGAAATGAAGAAACTGTTCAATTTTCAAAAAGTATTAAAAAAAAGTACTGATTAAGGTAATTGCAAATTTCTCTGACCGTAATTCTTGACAAACCAGAATGTTCTGTTTCACTGCAACTTGTGGATCAAACCACTCTTGTTAGCAGTATGTTGGGAAGATTTACTATGGGGTGCTGAAAATTATCCAAACTATTTAGTTGAAAGTTGAGCTCTCTTTTAGAATTGTACAATAGTATCTTTAACTTTCACTTTGTTGCCTGGTTTTAGTGCTCTGGGTTGTTGGGTTTTTGTGGCAAAGATCAGAAATGTGGGATCACCAGCAGTATGTTGTTAATCTTTGAATTTGATATAGTCTTGTTGAAATGTTTTCGAAGAGTTATTTTGCAAAGTATGTGCCTGTCTTTGTGAGCAAAGCGTGAAATTAACCTGCACTATCAGATTGTTGCTCCCTTTTTTGACTTTTTTTATTTGAGTTGCGGCTATGAGCTGCATTCAAAGTGCCAAAAGTTACACAAAACTGCAACTTTGAGCAGGTTATATTAAAGATGAGTTGTGCCATCTAGCCATTTGAGCCTGGGAGGTGTTTCCTATTTGGATTTGTGCTGTTGGCAACTGAGATGGTTCTTGAGTATTTTATTTATTTTAGGATTACTTGGGTACTCATTCCAAATTGATCATATTGTAATTAGTTAAAGATGTACTTGTGTTTATACAAATAGAAAATGAGTTTAATGGCCATAGGCTATTATATACATGTATATTATCTTAAAAAAAAGGTGACAACATGACAAAAGAAGCTTGGCTAGGTAAAGCTCCTTCTTCCAACTGACATCAATTTGTCTTAATTTTATATTAAATAACCAAAACAATTTTATCCATTACCTTGCTTGGCAGATTTTCATTCTTCCAGTGAGATCCTTTCCTTTTACTTTCATTTATAACTCTAATCCTACGGTTTTGATTTACTTTGAAAAACTATTTCAGAGAGGTATACTGAAATGCTTATTTCAAAGAGCTGCCCATTGAGATTAAAACTTCCATTTCCCTGCTTTCTTATTCATTGTATTCTTTACGCTTGTATATATCATTAGTGATGTCATATTTCAAATGGGCGCTTCTAGGTATCAGATTGACCCCATTTGGTAGCAGAATGACGGAATTGAGCCAGTCTTCTGTGACGGTCTCGATAGTCTGGTTGCTGAGCAGTACTCCGAGGCACTGCTGATGACAGCACAGCCAGCCTGGCTCATCGGCTGAACTTGGAAGGGCAGTCCAGCAACAACAACAACAACAAAATTACATCTGTATAGTGCTTTTCACGTTGGAGGACGTCCCAAGGTGCTGGACAGACAGAGTTTCAGACCCGAGCTGGGGGTCGGGGTGGGGCGGGGGGGGGCAGGGAGATCGAAAGCACGGTCGAAGAGGAGGGTCATGAAGGTGGTGAGGGAGAGGGCGAGATGGAGGGATTGCGGGATGGAGTTCCAGAGGGTGGGTGAAGAGTGGCAGAAGGCAGGAGATGTAGGGAGGTGCCAAGGAGTGAATGGATTTGAACACGAGTGTGATGCTTCCATGTATGCTTCCCAGACAGTGCTATCAATGGCAAGCTGTGCTGTTCTAGCTGGTTAGACTCCAGCAGTACCCCAGCGCACACTTTGGGGTCCCCGAGCTTTGACTTCTGCCAACCCTCACCTAATACTTCCAGGATTAGGGAAGCAGGATACATCAGTCCAGGGAGAGAGTGCGTATTCCATTCCAACAATTTATCTCTGGAATTTTCATGTGTAGGTGGGAGGCAGGGAATTCTCAGTTCGGTTTGGATTGGATACTCTTTAAGCCTGGGTTTTCACTTGTGTCAGATACCCGGCTAACCAAAAAAATATTGGTAGTACGTTCACTTCTGGGGCAGAAGTTTGTAGGCTCAAGGCCCGTATTTTG